AGAAACAATATAGAGATAAATTATTTTTTTTACTTTTTTTATCTTTTCTACTTTTTCTACCTTTTTTACTTTTTCTATTTTTTTTATTTTTTCTATCTTTTCTACTTTTTTTCCTTTTCTAAAAAGCTATATAAACCTTCTCTTTTCCTTTTACTCCAAATTAGATTTGTTTTTTACAATTTTCTATTATATTAGAGATTTAGTCTTCTCTAATCTTCTATTAAATAATAATAAAAAAATGTTTTGTAGTCACTCATAGTTCTCTAATATAATCTTGTAATCAAAACTACAATACTCAATAAAGTTCTAAATTCTCTATTAATTTTTTAATAAATATAATCTTTATTTTTATAATAACTTTGTATAATGAATTACTATAGTGATGTAATATTTTACTTAGATACTATTGAGAGCTCTATTTTTATGTTTTATGTTACTTGTGTTGTATTAAGAAAGCTACATCACTTATAATAATGAGATACTAGAAAGTTTAAATAGAATAATCACAAATAGATACTAGATATAGCAATTAGTAAGTAACCTTTGAACAGAACCTTTAAATAGACAATGATTAAAGTTGTACATATGACTAATTGTACTTTTACTAACCAATATAAACCTACAAATAATCTAATAAAAATTAACTAACATTGAGATCTTGTTGTAACAATAAAAAAAAAATAATAAAAAAAATTTATAAAATAAATTTTTTAAGCAAACAGAAATGTTATAAAATAGACTTTAGCTTATAGAAATATTGCAGAAAATAGAAATATAGCATGGAAACGTTACAGAAAGTAGAAATTTATAAGTACACAATCCAAACATATAACTTCCGATGTAGAAAATAAATGAAACTAAAAGATGAGCATGGTCAGGCTAAAAATTTTGAATAATATCCGAAATAATCCGAAGAATAGCACAAAATACTTGAGGTTTATTGTGGGCCAGAAATGTTAAGAACATAGTTAAATGCGGGCTAAACTGTTTAAACCCTAATTTTCAAACCGTGTGAACCGGTAAAAAAAATATTTTATCAGGCCTCTAGAGCACTCATAATTAGCTACGTATCAAAAATTTTATTAATCCTTCTACCACAAAAGTTTTTCCTTGCCTATCATGCAATTTCAAAAATTCTAATTTAATTAATAAAACAAAATCTTTCAAAAATGAATTTCATAAACTCTAGCCCAAATATATAAATTCGAAACCTTCATAAATTTCAAAAGTTTTGGTCTCACATTTATGAGGAGGAGGTCTTACTGTATTTAGAAATATTATAAAATAAAAAATTACACAAAATAAATGTTAATTTTCCGAATATCAAATTTAATTTTCCGTAATTGAAGTTCAGTAAATATACAGTACTAAATTATTATACACCATACAATAACGATAATTGTACAATATTTATTTAATTAAAATAATTTAAATGTACTGTTGCATATAAATTTCAAATTCTTGATATTTAAACACTGGGATCGATGAAAAATTTACAATAATCAAACAGCCTATGAATTGTTACTCGGGTACACGGGTACACGGGTACAAGATCGTAGTTTTTAATAGTAAAGTAATTTTGGTTGGTTCTTTAATGTTTATTATTTTTTATTTATGAAACCTGATCATGGAATTCTATTGGTTACCATACGCGTGCATTATTTATCAGTTACACATAAGGTATAGCGCGAAAGATGATTCACAATATTTGAAACGTTATTGTTTTTTATCACTAATATAAATTCATCAAATGATTTGCATATCATAATTCTGGTATCTTGGCATCATCTGACCGTAGATTTTTGGGTAGTTAGTAAAATGCAAAACTGAGGATAATCGAAAAATTTTTATTTTTTTATAAATGAAGCATTACAATCTTAATAAGTACTTTAAAAGCGTATAACAATAATTAGAAAAAAAAAAAAAAAATATTAACGGGTTAAACCGTAAAATTACTTTGGATCATTATTACAAATATCGGTCACCGGATCGGTGGGTAAGCAGGTTGAATCTTTATCTTGATGGTTATCATCATGACAGCTATCATCCTGATAATCACCATTTTCTTCTATATTGTCATCTTGATTGTCATTATTTTCGTTGTGATTATCGTCTTGATAATCATCATTTTCTTTATTATTTTCATTGGTTAATTTAATTTTTGCATTAGCAGCGTCTATTTCAGCATCCACGTCTATGGTGACAATATCCGGAGTGGACACAGTAACATTAGCTTTAAAGTCTTCAAAATTTAAACTTTGTCTTTTTGCTGATTTAGCAAGTTCTTCTAGTCTAGCCTTTTCTTCATTTTCTAATTCTTGTTTAAGACTTTCAAGAGATAGGTATACACGATTATTATATGATGTACCGGATTTCAACGCATCTTCATTAAACTATAAATATTTAAAGAAAAATTATAAATTTCAAGTTTATTTGCAAGTACTATAAAAATAAATTAGGAGAGTTAAAAAAAAATACCTGAAAATCCATCCCAATCCCTTTTTCATTTTGTAAATCAAGAATTTTTAATAAACGTCGCCTATAAGGTTATCAACATTATTATTATTATTATCATTATTATTATTATTTAAAAAGAAAGTTTTATAAAATAATCTAAAATGTTAGCGTACCCAATTCCATTAATTACACTAACATTATCCTTATCACGAACCCATACCGCAATGCGGTCTCCTCTAATCCTACGAGACATTACTATATAAAATATAATGTAAACATTTAATAAATATCGGTAAAATTTATAAATATATATATATATAATACATTTAAAAAG